TTGTACAATGAAATTTGAAAAAATTAAGGGGAGCAAAACATTCAAAACTACACTACGGAGGTTTTTTGGTTGGACATTTTTTAGTTATTCCTGTAAGATTAGTAACCCTGAGAAAAACGTGAAAAGATCATTCTCCCTTGTTATTGTGAAAAGTTTTACCTAAAATTTTTTTCCTAACAAGAATTTTTCCCCCCTCCCCGTGGAAACATTGGTTATTGTGTCCCTTATTTTCTCCCGCTTTAAATTTTTTTGACTTTAAAGGAGGTTCTGAAATTTTTTTTTGGGAAGACAAACCCTTATGTATAAACCCCTTTTTTACATTATAGATGCAATAATTAAGTCTTTTTTTTTTTTTTCATTTGGGTGGAAACTAAGCATTAACACTTTTTCTCCATGGGGTCCCCATAACCCCGGGTTTTAATTTTTGACTCTGGTCAAATAACACTTTTTTTTGGGCCCCTTTTTGATCTGGGAGAGTAATTTCTTTAAATGTTTGTTTGGTTCATATCACTGGAAAAAGTGGGCGTTAAAACTTTTTACTTTTCGTCCGATAAATTTTTTTTCTTGGGTTTATTTTTTTCTTCTTGGGGAGCAAAGTATCCCCCTGAACTGGTTATCTAAGTTTTCTTTCCATTCTTTTAAATGCTTCTTCAACCTTTGTATTAAGAATATTTTTTGTTGGGTATGGCTTAAACTTTTGACCGCTTGGGTGGGCCCTTTTCACAGTTTTGTCATTCCTGGGGTTAAACTTTTTTTTCAAGACTGAGGATTTTGTTTCTCGAGTTTTCCCTGGTGTCTGTTTTTTTTTAGCGTCTCTCAAAGATTCATATTTTTTAATAAAAAAGTTGGAGATGTAAAGTTTTTTGGGGATCTGGGTCGTTTGGGCATACCTGAGGACTACTTGGTAAAGGTTTTAACCGGGGAAGAGAAAGGGGGGGATGGGGGGTGGCACCATTTTTTTGTTTTTTGTTTTGGGGGTCCGGGCCTTTACGGTTGGGGAGTGGGGTGGTTTTTTGGGGGCCCGGGGTCCTCCCTTTCTACCCTTGTTTAATATTTAAAATTTTTTTTGGGTTTTTTTTGCTGGCCTTTTGCTGTTTTCCTCTTAATTTTCGCCTCAAAACTAAAGGAATTTTGTAGTTTAAGAAGAAGTTTTTAAATTATACAAAGCTTAGGGTTTCGTTGTTCAGCTGGCAGCGGGTGTTTTTTTTCGGTTTTTGGGGAGTCTTTCCCCCGAAACTCAAATTTTTTTTCGATTTTTTAGGTTTTTACTGTTGGTAAACTTTGGTCATTCTTGGGGGCTATTTGGGGAGTGCAGTTTTGCTTGTAACTAGGGCATTTATAGGAGCATTGGTAGCTCTGGGTTTTTGGAGAAAAAAAGGAGCTTGGGAAATCCTGCTTTTCCCGCTGACGCAACCCAAAAAAACCCACATTGACTTAAAGGGTTTTCCCTACAATCTTAAATAAAAAAAAAAGGTATTTAATAAGGGTTAACCCTTTGGGGGATTTTTGACTTAGTGTTGATTGTAATAACAAGTTAAAACTGTTTTTCCCCTGTGTTTTTAAGTACGGGCGGGAATTAAAAGGGGTGAATAAGAAATACTGATTTTTTTTTTTCGCTGGGGCGCTCGAAGGAGGCCAATTTAAAAATACCCTGCTGGGGACCAAGAGAAAAACATTTTAAAAAAAAAAGGAAAACAAAATGGCCTGCCCCCCCTGCAGGCAGGTCCAGCTCAAACCCCCCCACACCTACTTGTGTTTTCTATTAAGCCACCCAAGGCACTAAGTAAGGTTTTTTAGGTACAGGCACATACAAGGTAACCCAATTTTTCAAACCCTTTTTTTTTAAAAATATTAAAAATTTCCTAGTATAAAACCTTAAAAAGTGAAATGAAATCATTTTCCCTTGGGGTTCTTGTGACTACTTTTGGGAGTTTGTTCCACAGGTCATTACCCCAAACCAGGGGCTTGCCTATATCCCCTTTTTAAATCTTTAAAAATTTTTCCCAAATTAAAATGTGATAAACTTAATTTCCTATTTTTTCACGGGGGCCTGGGGCAGACTTGCCGGTCAGCCAGACTTTGCTGCTGGGAGCTTGCTGGCCCCCAAAAAAACCATCACAAAACCTTTTTTGATCTGGCCATTTGTTTTGGACCTATCAAGCTTCCTCTTAAAGCCTCGAAAACCCTTTTCCCATTTTGAAATTTTTTATCACATTGTAAACTCCTTTAAATTTTTCCTGCCCTGGTTATCAGGCTCTGATCCACCAGGAGGGGCCCGGGCACAACCGGGGCCCTGGGGGCATTGACCCCCCCGGGAAATCTCTCCCCGGGAAACACCCCTCTCCAGGTAATCAAAATAAAACCCTTTCGAAGGGTTTTAAAAAATGAAGTATAACCTGAGGGTTTTTTCATTATTTATCCCACTATGTGGCCCCGGTAGCAATGCTCTTTATCTCAAATTCCCCTGGGTTTACTCCCTGGCAAAGGGGGGAAACTTTGGGTGTGTTTTTCCCTTTTTATCTGCTGTCCCCGTTCACCCCGCAACAAAAAGGGAAACCCGGTGTTAAATAGACGGTGTGGGTTAAAATCTTTTGGACAAGATTGCGACACCAATGGAAATAAGGGCACTCTCGATTTTGGCCCCCCCTGCTTTTCTTGGGTTACCGGGTGCTAACCCCCCCAGGGGTTTAAAAAACCGAACAAAAAATTTGTATGAAAAATATTAGATTTTTGGTTTAACACTTTTCACCTTGGCTTTTGAGTACTTTCTGATGAGGGTACAAGAGGGCAACTAATCTGCACTTCTGGAAAGGCATATAATTAGAGGGAAAAGGAAGACAGGTAGGTAGGAATAAAAAAAAATAAAATGAGAACAGCAAAGCAAAAAAAATCAAACCAAAAAAGACTTTCCCCCATGGGTTTTTTGTTTGGGAAAAAATTTAAATTTTTGGAAAAATATAGAAAAACACTAAATTTTGGGCATTCATTTTGGAAAGAGTAGAACCTTGGGGTAGCTTTAAAAATATATTAGGTAAGTTTTACGAGTGGGTGTGGGTGGTTTAGAGAGGGCCTGCCCTCTTTCAGGGAGGAGCCAGAAGAATGAGGGCCCCGGATTATGGGAAATTTTTAAAGGGAAAAAGGCCTTGTGATAAGGGTTTCGAGGGCTCTTTTTTTCCCCTTTACAAAAATAGGTTTCCCTTTACCCTTTTGGGGCCACACAAGTAGAACCCCGGGACCTACTTAATTGGGAAAGGTTTAAAAAGGAATATCAGTGTAAGGAAAAAAACCCCGCATTTCCACCTATGCCCCGGGACTGAACCATGGGCATTCATAAAGGAGCTGGGGTTAAACGTCAATCGATCCAAATGTTATGTATTGCGTTTTCGCCCTTTCCAAAGAGCTTTATGAAAACCTTTAGGTATTACATTAAGAGAGCGCCCCATTGCTCCTTAAAAGTACATTGATTTTAAAAAAGCTCCTGGCAACCCCAAAAATTAATCAATTAAAAAAAACAGAAAAATTGCTTTCTTGTTTTCCCCCTGGCTAGACAAATTGTCTATATATCAGTCGTACTCCATTTTTTATTTGTTTAACAAGTTAGGTGGTAACAAACCCCTTTTCTAATTTTTTTTAAACTGTAAAAAATCTTATTATTTACACAACCATTTCAAAAAAAACATAACAAAGAAAATTAATAGTTGTTTTGGGTTATGCTTTCCAGCATTTTAAATTTTTTAAAAAAGGGGGAAAAAAAAAACCCCACCAGTAGGAAAATACGTTTCTGAAATGATTTGGTGTCCGGGGTTTGATTCCCCTCAGAGTAGAAACATTGGGGGTGTTTCTTTCCCCAAACCCGTTTTTTTTTCCCCCCATCAAAAAATGGGGAAAATGGGGTTAGTCGCTGGGGTGGGGCGCACCCGGGACACGATCTAATTTTCCCGAGATGCTCAGCATAACAAGTGGCTTTTTAAGTAAATAGATGTCCAATTTTTTCAGCTAGGGCTTATACCATGTAAAATATACTTTTAGTTTAAAAAAAGATTATTATTATTATTTTTTGATAATACTATAAGAGAGAAAAATTCTCACTCAAATTTAGACGAACATTTTAAGAACAGTCCCAAATTTCTGAAGTATTTCTCCCCTTTTTTCATTCAGGACTTTTAAAAAATATTTTAAAATAATCGGGGGCTTGGTTTTAATGATAGTAAATCACGCCAAAAGGCCCCGCTGTTTCTTTGTTCTTAAAACACTGAAGTAAACCCTTTGATTGGGTTTAAAAATAAAGTTTTGGCAAAAAACTGTATTAACTAAATGGGGTGGGTATGAGTTTGGGGCTTGAAAACGTTCCTGTGAAATGTATTTGTAAATGCCACAATCTCAGTTTTTAGTAAGTTTAAATTTTCAAAGTAAATAATTTTTTTCAAAACCCAAATTCATTGCTGCATTATCTGTTTGTTTTAAAGATTTTGCATATTTTGTTACATTTCTATTTTTTTTTTGGGACACTTAATTTTGTACCCCAAATTTTTTTTTTTGAAATATGCATTTAGTGTTTTTTTAAACCCGTTTTTTAAAAAATTTTGGGGGGGGGGTGCTGGCTGCAAAAGAAAAGTTTGCTTTTGGGAGTTTTTTGCACACAGGATTGAATATCCAACCCCCATTGCCGTGTAAAGGCCCCCAAAATTGTCTTTGTACTTTCATTTAAAGTAGAGTGGGATCAACCCTTTGTAAATTAGTTAATTTATGATTTGGGGAGAAGAAAAGATTTGTAGCAAAGTAATTGGAAAACCATTTTTGAGCCTGTTGGCCAGCTGCAGTGCTTATTCACTATCGTGTATCAGGGTGGGCGATAAGTATATGCTTAAGAAGAAATGCTATTCCTCTTGTATAAGATGTATGCAATTTCAATAACTACCTTATCACTTAATAAAAATATATTGTGCCAAATTTGAGAAAATTGTAATTGCACTGGTACTGTATTTTCATATTTTTTCCAGGAGGACGTCCTATAGTTCAGCATGTCTGACGTGGAAGGGTGAGTTGAGAATAATTGGTTTGTTCTTGTAACTGGTATTTGTTTATTGGTTGATACCTGTAAAAATTTAAGGCTTGTATGAAGATTAGCTATTTACAAAACTTGGTTAATTGCTTATTTATTATTATACAAGCAAGGTGTACAAACCCAGGCAAAATGTTTGTGTAAATTTTTTGAGAGATACTAGCCAAAAATACATTCATGAGAGGACAAATGTCTTAAAATGCATGCCTAGCAAATCAGAGGCTAGTGTTCAGTCATGGTGTTCTAGTAAAGTATTCAGTGTGTTATATTGTATGCAAATTGTTAAAAAATGGTGAAAAAAAAAGAGCAAAGAGGCACAATGCCATGACTGGAGAATACACATAGGAGGCGCTGACCAGGGAAGTGGAAACTATCAAACTTAACTTAAATGACTCTTACAGGAGCCAGGAGAGACAGGAGGAGCTTAAAGCTATTAGTGAAATTGAAAGAAATTCAAAATATTTCTTTTCATATGCCAAAAACATGACAAATACCACATCTAGTATCAGGCCCTTACTCAGACAGGATGGGACTTACACAGATGACAACAAGGAAATGAGTGAAATATTGAAATCCCAGTATGACTCTGTTTAGTGAACCACTAATCGGTCTGAGGAATGACGACCCAAATGATTTCTTCATGAATGAGCCTCAAAACTCCATAAATGTGTGCCAGATTTCCGACATTACCCTAACTCCGATAGATTTCGAAAAAACCATTGACAACATGCCCATGCACTCAGCCCCGGGCCCAGATTCGTGGAACTCTGTTTTCATTAAGAACTGCAAGAAACCCCTCTCGTGTGCCCTAAGTACACTATGGAAGAGGAGTTTGGACATGGGTGAAATTCCAGTCACTTAAAATGACTGATATAGCCCCACTCCATAAAGGTGGCAGCAAAGCATTAGCTAAGAACTATAGACCAATAGCTCTGACGTCCCACATAAAAATCTTTGAAAGAGTGCTAAGAAGCAGGATTGCAAATCACCTGGATTCCCAAAATCTGCACAATCCAGGGCAACATGGGTTCAGGGCAGGTCGCTCTTGCCTCTCACAACTACTGGATCACTACGATATGGCCTTGGATGCACTGGAAGAAAATCAGAATGCAGATGTAATATACACAGACTTTGCAAAAGCATTTGACAAATGCGATCATGGCGTAATAGCCCATAAAATACGTGCTAAAGGAATAACTGGGAAAGTGGGGAGATGGACCTTCAACTTCCTAACAAATCGAACACAGAGTAGTGGTCAACAGAGTTAAATCAGAGGCTGCCATAGTGAAGAGCTCTGTTCCACAAGGCACAGTACTCGCCCACATCTTATTCCTCATCCTCATATCAGACATAGACAGAGATATACATCACAGCACCGTATCATCGTTTGCGGATGATACTAGGATCTGCATGAGGCTGTCATCTGCTGAGGACGCAGTTAACTTCCAAGAAGATATAAACAAAGTTTTCCAGTGGGCAACGGTAAACAATATGATGTTCAATGAGGACAAATTCCAACTACGTTATGGAAAACTGGAGGAGATAATAGCTAGATCAGAGTATACTACAGACTCTGGCCATACAATAGAGTGGAAAAATAATGTAAGGTACCTGGGAGTAGTAATGTCTGAGGATCTCGCTTTCAAGGATCACAACAGTGCCACGATCGCATGTGCAAAGAAAATGATAGGATGGATAATGAGAACGTTCAAAACGAGAGATGCCAAGCCAATGATGATCCTTTTCAAATCACTTGTTCTCTCTAGGCTGGAATACTGCTGTACATTAACATCTCCATTCAAAGCAGATGAAACCACAGATCTAGAGAGTGTGCAGAGATCCTTTACTGCACGTATAAGTTCTGTCAAGCACCTTAACTACTGGGAACGCTTGGAAGCACTTGACTTGTACTCATTGGAACACAGGAGGGAGAGATATATCATAATCTACACTTGGAAATCCTGGAAGGAATGGTCCCAAATCTGCACACAGAAATCACTCCCTACGAAAGTAAAAGACTGGGCAGGCGATGCAAAATGCCCCCAATAAAAAGTAGGGGCGCCATTGGTACACTAAGGGAAAACGACATAAGTGTCTGGGGCCCAAGACTGTTCAACAGCCTCCCATCAAGCATTAGGGGAAGTGCCAATAAACCCCTGGCTGCCTTCAAGAGAGAGCTGGACAGATACCTAAAGTCAGTGCCAGATCAGCCGGGCTGTGGCTCGTACGTTGGACTGCGTGCGGCCAGCAGTAACAGCCTAGTTGATCAGGCCCTTATCCATCGGGAGGCCTGGTCATGGACCGGGCTGCGGGGGCGTTGATCCCCGGAATAACCTCCAGGTAACCTCCAGGTATAGGAGAGAGGAGCTTAACGACAACATTTGTCTGACTTGGACCATTTATAGTCATGGTGAGGTTTTTTTAAGTTGCTAGATACCCAACCCAAACAAACTTAAATAACCATAAACATGTTTTTTCAATGAAGTATGACTAGAAGGCCAGACTGAGTTCTGGCTGTGCACTCATTTGAAGACAATGTCTCCCAAAATAACTTGACCAAGACTTAACTCTGTTAATATGTATATGATAGTGTAAACATGTTACTAGGCTTTTATGTGCACTTGAAACTGAAAAAAGGCTGTTTTGCTTTACAGCAGTAGCCCAGAACCTAACCTAACCTGTATAAGCAAGGCCCTCCTGTAGTAAGAGCTCTGCTGAGTAATGTACTGAGCTCAAATCTATGAACAATATTTTTATTTCCTGTGTTTATAATTTAAGAAATTCCATTTTTTAGTCATTGCTGCTCTAAAGATATGGTGCATAAGTTGTAAGCATGTACACTAGGTTGTAAATACAACAGGCTAGTAAACCTAAACCCTCTGTATGACGCATCATGTGTGTTTGACATATATTTAACATAGCTTCTGATTTATACTACAATATATATTACAGTACATCTTCCTTGTATATAGATCAGGGTAGATGCACAAGGATAATATATATATATCCAACATAATTTTTTCTTTTTCAGTGTTTGTCAGAATGTTTGATTTCAATTATACTCAGTACTTGGTGAAGAATTAGGTATGCTGTTAATTAAAAGTGGAAGCTGCATTGAAGAATGTCATCATATTACATCAATTTAAAAGTTGTGCATGAGTATTTAGATATTTTAGGGTATTATACATTTTTTTTAATTTGTACAAACACATTTACTCTCATTTTCAGAGACGTTAGTGTTCCCGTGGCGGTCGGTGGCCCCATGGACTTGAATACTGCAGTCCAAGAAGTGCTAAAGCAGGCTCTTATGGCTGATGGTCTTGCTCGTGGACTCCATGAAGCTGTAAAGGCTTTAGACAAGTAATATACTAATAATAGTTTGTAAAATTGACTTAAGAAATTCACTTCCTGCACAAAATGTGTCTTATCATAGGGCAGTTAGAATCACATGGGTTGAATCTTGCTGTTCAGTGATGATGTAGACTGTGCAAGGGAAGGAGAGAAATTATCATCTATACATGCTCCCTCAGGACCTCTTTCTTAATGTCCAATTGTGGTTGAGCTAAAATGGATGAGACATGTATGCCAGTACTGTTCATAGTTTCATAAGGGCTTAGCTGTAGACAGTTTCTGGGAAAGGGTCAGTGCTGCAGTTGATCCCAGACCAGGCATCCCATAAGAAGGAAGGAAGGAGCACTGCAGCAGGCCTGCTGGCCCATGCGAGGCACGTCTAAGTCACCTACTGGCCTAAGCCAGGTGGTTTGATCAGTTATGCTAGTGCTGGTTGTGTGTAGTATCAGGAACAGACTCGGAACATGCCAGTATTCCTTTTGAAGACGGATTTGTTACTGTGGTACTTTGCCTTGTGTGAAGGGTGTTTAAGCTAATCCCTTTACACTACAGCCTCTCCTCATTCAACAACAGTTACATTCCTAAGACCACATCGGTAAATGAATTAGTCTTTAAGCAAGGAGCATTCTGTAATCAAATCAAATCATATCAAGTTCATTCTCTATAAAGATTACAATGCAGGGTTTATATATTTTAGGATATTGTGTGGTTTACATGTTATAAAATACTAATTACAGAAGGGGCCACTATCACAGCTAGCATGGCTAGGCATTTTAATGTCACCCTTACACCATTTATAACATTCTTACTATATTTTTAAATGTTTATACAGTAGTATATGTATATTGTAATAAACAGAATAGAGGAAATCTTCTCTGATATACATTATTTAGGTATGCATACTGACCAGAGCCCCTCATAAGTCTGAGTCGTCGGTAAACAAGTATAGAGTTCTTAGTGTAGTCAATATATGTCTTGCTTCTCATTGGTTATGTTTTGCACTATTTAAAAGCATTTCAGTGTCATTTTCTCTAGCTGCTTTCTGCAAAGAGGCAGACATACAAATGATGTAAGCAGACACTCAAAGGTCCAACAAGGCTCAGGCCATTAAATTCTCAATGTCCTAAAGCCATAAAAAATACATATGAAAATTGATGTTCAAAAATTCTTGTCCCATGGTGAACTCTGTGTTTTTCACTTGCTTCAACATATTAAAGTGTGTTCCACCTGAAGAGATTTTTTTGAGATTTCATTGCTGAAACTCTTCACATGCTGAAAGTAAATCTTAATTACTGTGAAACTGCCTCAGACCCTAAAACATTAAAAATTAGTTACCTGGAGAGGGTTATGGGGGTCAGTTTATATTGTTTATGTACATGTGTAATATTATTTTAAAAAATGTAGGCTGTTTTGTTTCAACATCACAGGCACCTACATTACATTAGGTTTTATTTGTAGTTATAGTTGTGGGAAATTGTACATACAAGATTTCATAAAAAAAAATTATCGATTTCCTGGAATATTGGGGGCTGGGATCCTTAATTTAATTTCAAGGTAATCGGATTTGTCAGATACTGTCTGATTTGTCATACTTGGTATGAGTAGATTGTTGCTATCACTGCTGAATAACTGAATTTTGCATCACTTCTTGCTCATCCTTTTCAATGGCTACACTAGTGATAGTGGTACAGTATATAATAATTAGCAGTAGAATATTGATTGATAATTAAACCATGTATAAAATAGTTTATTTTTCCTTTTAAACAGGCGTCAGGCACATCTGTGCTTGTTAGCAAATAACTGTGATGAGCCTGGCTACTCGAAACTTATTGAGGCCCTCTGCCAAGAGCATCAGATCAAGCTCCTGAAGGTTGACTCAAACAAAATGCTGGGGGAATGGGCTGGTCTCTGCAAGATTGATCGTGAAGGGAAGGCTCGTAAGATTGTAGGCTGCTCGTGTCTTGTTGTCACTGTAAGTATTGGCTGTTACTCCAAGACATTGTCATTGGCACCTTCTAAGCTCTTTTCAGTTTCATGTCATGTCTATTTTATTTTTAAATCTTAAGAGACATTGGCTACAGATTTGTGGTAAATGGTGCTGCAAAATTAGGCTATTGAGGCAAGTCTTCATGGTATGGATCTTAGGAAACTTATTGTAACCCCCAATGCTCTGAAATGTGACAGTGCTGTATAATTGCTAATTTAATAAGTACAGACATCTTTTACTCTTCTGATCACTTATGGAGTCACGGTATCTGGACTTGCCCTACCCTTTCCTTGGTTTACTGCATGTGCAGTAGCATATAATCCCTATGGGTTTAACACTTTCCCCCTCCTTGATTAAAAATAAAAAGTCCCAGTTTAGCATGCTAAGCTAAACTTGTAAGTTGTTAAATATTAACACTTAAATGTCATGTATCATGGGAAGTAAATGGGTCCCTAAACAATTAATGGAATCATATTAGGATAAGGCACTGTAGATGATAGGTTATTGTCTTTAGGTGTTAGCCTAAGATCAGTTTTTGGTATGGAAACTTAGCTGTTCTTATATTGCATTTATTTGCCTTATGGGTTGAGTACTCCCTCTTGAATTTGATTTTTATTTTTAACAAGTAGTTCACGTGTTCTGTATGTTGTACATAAAATTAATGATTCAAATATTCTAGACTATGTACATAATATGTAACATGTACAAATTATAAACCTGATCACTCATTTCTTACAGAACTATGGTAAGGAGACCCAGGCTCATGATGTTGTCAATGAGTATTTCAAGAGCAAGGGACAGTAAAACCCTAGGTAAGTATTCTATGACTCCATTCTGGTTTAATTGCACATAGTGATGAAAAAATTTGCAGAAAGTCTTATGTTGTTAAATTACTGGTTTAATGAGTCTGAATTTTTGCTTATTGCATTTGTTTATTTTTATTTTATGTGATTTTAATTGAAGTCCTGTTTCCCCAGATAGACTAAGGGACAGTGAAAACCCTATATATATATGTAAGTGCTTTATGAATCCATTCTGCTTCAATTGTGTATAATGATGAAAAAATGTGCAGAAAGTCCCATGTTGCTAAATTACTGGTTTAATGAGTCTGAATTTTTGCCTATTTCTTTTGTTTATATATATTTTATGTAATTTTAATTGCAGTCTTTTCTCCCAGGTGTGCAGAATCACAAAAGTTCCAGTAATCCAGGAGTCAGGGGTGAATTTAAGCTAAAAGATCCTGCTCAGCATTTGAATGGGGGCCACTGATTTCCACAAATTAAAAAAAATAAATAAAAAAAAATTGAAATTTGAAGTGTTCAATACCTTATATAGGAAAACAGGCCAAGATTATACATTATTTCATTTGGATGTCATGATGCAAATTATCACAAAGTAAGAGTTTGTGAAGGATAGTGCATCTAATGAAAAGGCTTTGAACCAAAGATTTAATGCTCCTCATGCCCCTCCACTTGCATTGAAGCCAAGTGCCTTCCATTCCCTATATGCTTTGTGATTCCTACAGATTTAGTGGTTCCCCAAATTTTAACACTGGCTGTTTCATCGAGGTAGGGTGACCACAGGAAAAACTTTCACCTTTCTCTCCCCAGTCAGGTGCCAATAATAAGAGTTCAGATGCTGCTCTATTTTATCCTCTTCAAGGGGGCTCCTTGGCGTAGTGAGGAGGCTCTTGGTCTGACCTCTTCAAGGGAGGCTCCTTGGCATGGTGAAGAGGCTCTTGGTCTGAGGAATTAGACCCGTCGGTCTACTTCCTCAGACCGAACCTAATTACCCCCCAATCCCCCGTTCCCTATCCCATCCTCCCCTTTTTCCTTTCCTTCCTCCTGCTCCCCACCCCTCCCTTTTGCCCTTCCTTTTTGGCCTTTTTTTTTTTTTCACAGACACGCTAGTTCCTAGGTAGGGGGAAAGGGTACCGGGGTCCATCCCATTCCGTTGAGGTTCTTGGCGGTGGCGTAGTTTGCCGTGGAATCTGGATTGCCTGGGGATGTCCTGATCCCTCTCCGGTATCCCGGAGGGTGGCTTTGAGTGTCTCTCGGGCGACGGGTGTATCTCTGGAAGCCACCTTTCGGATTCCGGGGGTGGTGGCTGAAGGAGGTATGCTTTGTGGCGGATTTTCCGGCCGCCCTCTCTTTTGCCCAACCGAGGTAGTGGACAGATGTGAGGTTGCTATTCCCGGATTGCGGTTTACTGGCATGATGGGTTGGGAGGGCACGGGTTCCATGCTGCATCTGCACTATTGCGGTGCTGAGGTCCCTTGGGCGCGGGGGGAGATTTCTGGCCCTTTCATTCCTCCTAGGAACTATCCCTCCCCGGTCCCCCCTTTTTTTTATTTTTTTTATTTTTATTTTCTTTTTCTTTTTTTTCTTAAAAACAAAAAGAAAGAAATAGCCTAACCATGGCAGCCCTAGTCCATGAACCTGCTACCCGCGGGCCCCTTGATACCGCACCCCGTTCTGACCCCGCCTCGTCTTAGGACCACTCTTCTGACACTCCTCATGCCTCTGTACCTCTTGCCGGTGCTGTTTCCTCGCCCGCTTCAGGTACTGAGGCCTCGACTGACTCCTTCGATTTATCTGACCTTCGCTCTCCTCTGACTGCTTCCAGCCTCTCCCTCTACGGTGCGGCAATTTTCGAATCGCCGGCCCGTTCCATGTCGGACCAACTCTGGTCCCACGCCTAAACGACAACGATAATTACCTGCTGATGATACTTCTCCACCTTCTCGTTCTTCTCAGAAAAGATCGACACGTCCTTCACTACCTTTCCACGCTCAGTTTCAGATTGCACAATGGACTAAATTCTTCACTTTACGACCGACTTCCTCTACTGCCTATCTTTCTGACCACAGTATTGGCAAGGCACTCCTACGCCATGTTGGTAAAGATATTTCTTTTCGTGCTCTTAAGAGTGGTACACGCATCGTCACCGTACAGAATGCTACCCAGGCTCATGAGCTTTCTCGTCTTTCCCATATCGATACTGTTCCTGTACTATTGAAAAGCATCATTCCCTCAATTCTTGTAGTGGTCCCGTCTTTTCTGCCCCATACCATAGTTCAACAAAATTTCCAGACATGTGGCACTGACATTCATGAACAGCTGGAACTCCAAGATCTCCCAATCCTCAAGGTAGACACTTACGTTCTTCCTGCCCGCGGGCGGAGATGATACCCTAGCAATGGGGCTCGTTTAACTTTTGACAGCCGTGAACTCCATCCTCAGTTTGTGTAGCAGGACATCGGTTACAAGTTCGAAAGGTGATCCCTACCCCGCAACAGTGTAAAAAAATTGCTGGCGATTTGGCCATCCAAGCGAAATATTGCAGTTTAAATCGCCGAATGCCAAGTCTGTGGTGCCGATTGACCCATTCTAATTCGTCTTGCAATCGACCCCCCTCTTGCCTTAATTGTCATGAGGCTCACCCTTCGTACTCTGCCGTTGTCAAGTCTACTTTAAACGAGCGGGAAATCCGTTACCTCAGAGGCAGAAGGTCTCCCTTATGCCATGGCAGTTTCTCATCTCCGCCTCCAAGGGAGACTACTCGTGTTTCTTATTCCCGTGTTTCAAAAAGTCCCCCCCAAATTTGGTATCCCCTCTTCTGCACCCACCCCTGTGGTTAACCTCTCCCATAGTCCCCTCCTGTAGCTAATTTTTTTTGCTGTCCTCGGCCTCAGACGTCCCTACTTCAACCTCTCAGTCTGATTCTTGCTTCTTCGTGTTCTCTCTCACAAGCCTCAGTAGCGACAAGATCTCGTTATGACACCTCCCAATCGTTCCCCTACTTCTCAAAAGTCAAAAAAAGGTCCGTTAACACCTACCCATCTTCCACCTCCTCATTTTTCCCTTCCCCGTCTCTGTACCTGGTTCTCCCCCTCTCACTGGCTCTGTTACAAGTGTAGAGGTTCACCCTCCCCGTACTGTACCTTCCTCCCCTGTTCCCTCCCAAGTTTCTTCCTCTTCTGCCACCTCCCAGGCTTCTGCCTCTTTTGTCCCCTTCCCGCTTCTCCAATTCCCCTCACCCTTTCGCCCCCCCCCTACCTTGGTACAGTCCCTTACAGTTCCAATCTTTACTCATCCCCCCCCTACCATTTCCAATATTGTCTCCCATACGGGCGTCTCTGAATTTTTGAAAAAACTTGAAGCAATCTCTGAATATATTGCAGAGACTAAACCATCAATGGACACTGATCCACCCTCCCCTCCTTCTCTTCCTCTACTCCATTGCGCAACTCCTTTCTTCACAGCGCACCGTTCCTTCGCTGCTTGAACGTTTTCACTGCCTCCGCATGTGGACTTTTTCTAACCCCTCTAGTCCGTAGGAACCCTTTACCTGCGGATTTCAGGTATCTTTATCATTGCCAATCATGGCCTATTTTCAGTGGAATATACACGGCCTCAGGGGTAATCGGGGTGAGCTTCAGATGTTACTCTCCCAGTTTTCTCCTGTTGGTGTTTGCTTACAGGAACCAAAATTACACTCTGCTGTTATCTCTCCCATCTCAGGCTATAATTTATTGTATTTTCAGATCCTTTTCCCGATGGGACCTTTAATGAAAGTGCCCTTCTTCTACGCACTGATATTCCGTACCATCAGCTATTTGTTGTTTCTTCGCTGCATTTTCACAGCAGCCCGTATCCACTTGCTAGGTGGTATACGCTCTTTTTCTTTATATCTCTCCCTCGGGCATTATCTATTCCGGATATTGCCTTTCTTGTTTCGTCATTACCACCACCCAATTCTGTTACTTGGTGATTTTAATGCCCACCATTTCCTCTGGGGGGGGGGGGTCTCACTGTGATTCCCGTGGCATTCGGTTAGAGGCTTTTCTTGCCCCCCACCCCCTCCCTGTTTTAAATCAGGTACTCGCACCCATTTTGATCCTCGGACTCTCACTCTCTTGCATCGATCTCTCAGTCTGCTCTTCCTCCGCCGCATTAGACTTCACTTGGTCTGTTCTTCCGGACTTACATGACAGCGATCATTTCCCAATCATTCTTACTTCCCCTTCATATTCACCACCTCTTCGCCTCCCACGCTGGCAATTTGATCTGGCAAATTGGAATCTTTACTCACACCTAACTGTTTTTAGAGAGGTTCCTTCTTCGTCCTCCATCGATGAGCTTTTACACCTCTTCTCGTCCTCCGTTTTAACCGCAGCTTCTCATTCTATACCCCCAAAATTCGGGCAGGCATTCTCAGAAATGCGTGCCTTGGTGGTCTCCTGCTTGTGCTCGTGCAGTACTTTTGAAACGCACTGCATGGGGCAGGTACCAGTACAATAGAACCATAGACTTCTTGATTTTAAGCAGAAGCGTGCGATCGCTCGCCGTGTCATCCGTGACGCTAAACGCACTTGGTGGCGAGATTGTCTCCACCATCACCTCTGCTTCCTCTATGAGTGCAGTCTGGAAAAAGTACGAAAACTGAGTGGTAAATATTCTCCTGACCCGGCTCCTGTTCTGCGGGTTGCCGGTGTTGATATAGCAAACCCACTAGATGTTGCCAATGAAATTGGCAATCATCTGGTCCGTATTCTCAGGACTCCATCTATGCCCCTCATTCCTTTCCTCAAAGTCTGCCAGAGAGTTAGCACCCTTGGACTTCTCTCTCTTAGAGAAGAACAGTATAATGTGCCTTTTACACATCAAGAACTAGAGGCAACACTCAGCTTGCCGATCATCGGCAGCTGGGCCTGACGACATTCATATTTGTAGGCTACAACGTTACATCAGTCAGCCTTGCAGTCCATTACGCCTTTACAATCTTATTTGGTCACAAGGAGTTCTTCCACAGCTGTGGAAATTCGCCATTGTTCTCCCTTTCCGCAAACCAGGCACTACGGGACATGAAACCTTCCACTATCGTCCCATTGCTCTTACCAGTGCAGTTTGCAAAGTGATGGAAACGCCTAGTAAATAGACGTTTAGTGTGGTATTTAGAGACACACAACAGTCTCTCCACTCGTCAATATGGCTTTCGTAAGGGACGTTCTACTATAGACCCCTTACTTCGCTTGGATACGTATGTTCGTAATGCCTTTGTGAATAACCACTCAGTTATTGCCATATTTTTTACCTTGAGAAGGCATATGACACAACTTGGAGGTATAATATTTTAGCCCAAGCCCACTCCTTAGGCCTTCGAGGCAATCTACCATCCTTCCTTAAGAACTTTTTAACTGACAGGCATTTCCATGTTCGGGTTAATAATGTGCTCTCCCCGGACTTTATCCAAGCTGAAGGTGTCCCCCAGGGATGTGTTCTGAGCACAACACTTTTTCTCCTTGCT